AGCCTTGATTAACGTTTTTACCCTATGTTGTTTATTAATATTTGAGAATAATTGTTGTTTAGCTTGTCTTTGATAATTGTTGTTTATTTAATTTTTGCAATTGTCTGAAACATAAACTACACACGAACCCTCGCACATAATAGTTCCCTCTATGCCCAAGGGCAAGAATAGGATAACCATAGGGAGTGGGTGACGTACGGCCAGCCATAGACGGGTCTAGCTACCCACAGGTCGTTGTCAAAAATCACCACTTGAGATGTTAACCAGTTACTGTAGCCCGATGCACTGGATGGACCTTGTTGTCCACCAGTTGACGGCGACAAAGATACTGGATCCCTATAATTGGGGCATCTTGGGGCCTGAGACTGGTGAGAATAGTTAGAACTTCCAAATACTATGCACCCTTTCGTAGGGACTTCAACCCATGTGTAGACACCCAATTTTGTCTGGGGGCATACAAACAAGGAAATGGACCTCTGTTTTGAAGGGAAGGAGCTCCCGAAGTATGAAAACAACAAGATAGGACATCAGAAGGCCTAAAGCCCAACTAAATTGGTTTTAGTGGTCCGGAACGGGCTGTTCCAAAATCGGAACGGGCCGTTTCAAACAAAAAAAAAGGCCTAAAAACCAAGTCTGGAACGGGCCGTTCCAAAACCAGAACGGCCCGTTCCAAACCAAGCAAAAGGCCTAATAATAATAGGCGGGAACGGCCCGTTCCTAAGCCAGAACAGGCTGTTCCAAAATTGGAATGGGTCGTTCCAAACCTAAAAAAGGGTTAAAAAACCTTAACCGGAACGGGCCGTTCTGAGATATTAAAATGGACTAAAATATCTATTTTAGAACGCCCGTTCCAGTCAACCAAATTATGTGTTAATCTTATCTCTGGAACGGGCCGTTCCAGTTTCAAAATGGGTCGTTCCAGTTACGATATTAACACATAACGGCCGGATCCATAACGGGTCGTTCTAATTTTGGATCGGGCCGTTCTGGACCCTTTTTGATGCCTATAAATTGCCACAAAGCACCTAAATCTCCATATTTGAAGATTCAATAGAGCTCGTTCAAGAGGTATTTCAGTCAATCTTCTTCTCTCTCTTTTCTTTCTTATCTTTGATAAATATTGTTTATAATAAAAGCAATCATGTAGACATTTTAGGGTCAATTGTATAATTTAAATTTTAAGAATGTAAATAGTTATTAATAAAAGGGGATCTAATATTTAATTTATTATTTCTTATCACATTAACTTCATCATAGGGTACCGATTTAGGGCGTTGTAGGGGTGCTTAATACCTTCTCTACACGTAACCGACCCCCGAACCCAATTCTGGTTATCAAGGCCATTATTGAACCTTTTAAAAGTTTTTTCTCTTTCCAATGTTTTGAGTAAAACATTGGTGGCGACTCCATAGAACCTATTTTCAAAACCATCAATTAAGGATTAGTCTGGTGTCCGGGCATTCCTTAATTGATGAGATCTTTAAAAGGATGTCTAAATCATAGGTCGCAAGATCGAAAATTTTCGGGTTGCGACACCATGGAAAGAACGTAACTGTTCGCGGGTATATATTGATTGAGCATATATGTTTGCATTTTTTGTTTGTATTGTTTGTTTTTCCAAAGGATTGGATTGGATTTAGTACAAACAGTAGTTAATTAGGGTTAAGCTAAGCAATACCCTTATATGCATGTTTAGGCCTTCATAAAAAAAACATACTGCATCATATAGGTAGATTTTCTATTTATGAAAAACCATGTACAGAAAAAAAAATATAGAATAAACATGTTATCATGCATATTTTTCATAAAAATGAAGGTATGATAAATGTAAGCAATAAAAATAATGGTATGCAATTTTTAGGCTAGCCCATTGATCCACCATACATTTTATTCTTCTTAGATTTTGGAAGGATTAGGTAGTAGCATGCATAGATAGTTAAGAAAAGTGAATGTCTTAAAATATGTCATGCTTAAGATAGATAGTGTCTGGGCTCTAAAGAGAGGCTCAAATTGATTTTGAAAAGATACTATGGTAGGGCCCTCGCTTTGATATCTGTTGAGACAAGTCTTCTTGGATCCTAGTCTGCATTTCTTGCAAAAGCTTATTAGAATGAAAATCCACGAAAGATGTTCTAAGCAAAAATTAGAAAAAGTTATGAGCTTACTAAGACAAAGGTCTTAAGTAAAATTAAAAAAAAACAAGCAGTGCAGGTTTAGGCACTAATGAGGCATGATTTGTACATACATCAACCACCTTTTTTTCTTCTTTAAAATTTTGCAATACTGTCAAAATCTGTCAAAAAGCATTAAGCATTCACCGATAAACAAATCAATAATACTGATATTTGTCAATTCTTAACTTTCTTTGCATTTTGCATTGCATTCATTTAGAGCATATGTCTTCTTGGTAATTAATAATCAAGAATAAAAAGAGGAATCTAGTCTATGCACGTTAATTAGTCATTGAAAGCCACTGGTAATTGATTATAAACCAAATATGCAAGATCGAGACACTCTTGAGAGTCAAATCAATTATGATCTGAATGGGTAAAGGGTGAGGAATACCAAAATAGTTGATGATCAAGATGTCGAGTCCTTTCTTGTATGTCAGCAATAAGGTCTTGCCATGAGTCGACGACATCAAGTGTCATTATGTAAAAGACTCATCTAACATCACTAGTGTTGAAGGGTTAACTAGAAGTGGTCAAATCTGCACTCCTAGTAAATTATAAGTTAATACCTCCAAAAAAAGATAAGTTTAAAGAATAAAGGAGACGAACTTGAGGAGGAAGATAAATTTGTCAAACGTATAAGGCGAAGTGAATAAGAGCTTTCTTACCAAGAAAATTCCAATACAGAGAAAAAGCATTATGCTTGAAGATATTGCTTGTGCTCGCTAGAATAAAGATTCGCAAATGATGTTCTAGGCAAAAGTTAGGGTAAGAAAAAGCCCGCCAAGACAAAGGTCTTAGGCAAAAAAAAAGGCTAAAAATATTGATAGGATACGTCCTATGCAAAAGTTAGGGATAAAAGAATAAGAAAAGAAAAAGAAAACAATGTTTACTCGAGCTGAAAATCGAAAGGCGTCTCAAGTATTTCTTCTAAGCAAGATTTTATGAAAATTCTACTCCAAGCTCTATTATCACTTCTACCTACAGTTGCCTCCTTGGAAGGCCTTGAATCCATCAAGCGCGAGTTGTACCCTCCACGCTCCACCAGAAAGTCAAGTTCATGGTGGACAATAAAGACATGATTATCAGCAAACCACTAACTATCCTATATGTGGATGTGATGGAGGAAGCCCTGTAGACACCCAATTTCGTCCGGGGGCACACAAACAAGGAAATGGACCTCTGTTATGAAGGAAAGGAGCTTCCGAAGCAAGCAAAACAACAAGACAGGACATCAGAAGGCCTAAAGGCCAAATAAGGTGGATTTAGTAGCCCGGAACGGCCTGTTCCAAAATCAAAACGGGCCGTCCTGAACCCCGGAACGGGCCGTTCCAATATCAGAACGGGTCGTTCCGACGTAACTAAAACACCTAAAGAATCCTAGGCTGAAAGGGGTCGTTCCAATACCAGAACGGGCCTTTCCAAACAAGTCAAATTTGGAACGAGCCATTCTGGAAAGGGCAACTTTGTGTGAACTTCCACTTTGGAACGGGCCATTCCATTTTTAGAATAGGCCGTTCTAGGGTGCATAATTTGCACATAATGATTGGCCCAGAGCGGGCCGTTCCGAATCCGGAACAGGCTGTTCTGGCCCCCTTCTGATTCCTATAAATAGAAGCCTCGGGCACATTTCTCAGGACGACCAGAGAAATTTCGAATAAGACTCCTTTGAGCACGAAAATTCTCTATATCTCTCCCTTCTATTGTATTTCTTGAGATCTGTGTCGCATCTCTATCTTCTCCCTCCCTTCTATTGTATTCTTCAATGTGATCGATCTCTAATGTTTGGAACGTGACTTCTAGGGCTTGTCGCAACCCGAATATTTCCGATCTCACGACCTATGGTTTAGACATCCTTTTAAAGATCTCATCAATTAAGGAATGCTCGGACACCAGACTAATCTTAATCAATGGTTTTGAAAATAGGTTCATGGAGTTGCCACCAATATTTTACACAAAACATTGGAAAAAGAAAAGCTTTTTTAAGGTCTAGTAATGGCCTTGATAACCAGAATTGGATTCGGGGGTTGATTACGTGTAGAGAAGGTATTAAGCACCCCTACAACGCCCTAAATCGGTACCTTATGATGAAATTAACACGATAAGAATTAATAAATTAAATATGGAAAAAGTGCTTTGTGGCGACCTTTCACACTACAGTATGCCTCACAGATCTCAAGAAATATAATAGGAGGGAGAGAGACGATAGAGATGCGACACAAATCTCAAGAAATACAATAGAAGGGAGAGAGATAGAGAATTTTCGTGCTCAAAGGAGTCTTATTCGAAATTTCTCTGGCTGCCTTGAGAACTGTGCCCGAGGCTTCTATTTATAGGAATCAGAAAGGGGCCAGAACGGCCTGTTCTGGATTTAGAATGGCCCATTCTGGGCCAATCGTTATGTGCAAATTACGCACCCTGGAACGACCCGTTCCAGAGTGGAAATTAACACAAAGTTGCCCTTTCCAGAACGGCCAGTTCTGAATTTGACTTGTTTGGAACGACCCGTTCTGGTATTGGAACGACCTGTTCTAGCCTAGGACTCTTTACACTACTACAAAAATACTATTTTACGTCGCTATATTTACATCGGTTGTCCAAGAAATGATGTAAAAGATATATGCGGTGGCAAAGTTGTAATTAAGTAAAAAATATAAGCAAATTTACATCGGTTCTTGCTAAAACCGATGTAAAAATGAAGTATTCTACATCGGTTATAGCAAGAACCGATGTAAATATGCTTATATTTAGGGTTTTAAGCGAAGTAGGAATGGTCTAGGCTCCCCCTCGCATGCCCCCTTCTCCCTCCAAACCCCCTGGCCCCAATCCATGCCGCAGGATCCCCAGAGTGGCGCTTGGGAGTACTTCTTCCCCTCCATCGAGAACATCGCTGGCCCCACCCTCAATGTCGCCGAAGAAGATGCCCTCTCCAAGGTTCAGGCCAAGGTCTTCCATGAAAAGCCCGCCAGGGTTGTTCACGAGGACCAGGTTATCACGCCTCAGAAGGATCTTCGTGTTCCTGAGCCTGAGCCTGAGCCTGAGCCCAAGCCCGAGCCTGAGCCCGAGCCTGTTCCTGTGCTTGAGGAAATGATGGAGACCCCTCCGCCCAAGGGCACCAAGATCAAGCAACAGATGCCGAGTTCTATGAAGCATTCCGTCAATCTGCAGCAGATATTTGCTAATCTCAATGATCATTTTCTCAAGGCTTCCGAGAGTGCTCATGTTGTTTCCAAGTTGCTTGAGGCTACGCGCTTGCACTATCACTCCAATTTTGCGGATAATAGAGGTACTCTCCATACCTTTGTTGCTATATTAATCTGTTGCAGAGCAACTAAGTCTTTTTGTTCTACCATTATAAATCTTTCAATATGTAGTTATATTCTGAGAAAGCAAATGATTAGTTAGTTGGAGTGCTTCTTAAATAAGTTTCTCTAGATCGAGAAGGTGAACCTCTATGATTTATCTTTCATAGAGAAATTATATTTCATTAAATTATTTCTATATTAAAGAAAAGAGAATTGTGTGATAAGCGATAATAATTGATGGAATAGGGGAAAAATATGTTGTAACTCTTTTATGTATGATACTCCTCTTGAAAGTGACATTTGGATTTGGAATATCAAACGGCTAGCGCTTAACTATGAAGGCAGGGGAATTTAACTCTATTTGTTTTCATTTTCTACAATATAGTATTCAAATGCCTTTTCCTAAACTATTACTTATCAAACTTTCTGTGGGTGCCTATCATAATGCGCAATGAGAGTGAACAAGCAAGGGAATGGAGTCAAGTTTTTAGTGAAGATACAAAAAAGCAATCGATTCCAGTCATAGTAGCTTGGCAATTGAATGAAAGAATGTAGTAATCTGTTTCCTACTTTCATCGTTTGTTATTACTGCTTTACAACCTTGTGTACAGCATATAATCTATAAGCTATACTTGTAATGATTTCAGGTACGGGGAACTACAGGGTCTCAATAAGCAAGAAACAGCAGACAAATATGGGAAAGAACAAGTACATGAGTGGCGTAGAAGTTATGACACACCTCCCCCAAATGGTGAAAGTTTGGAAATGTGTGCTGAAAGAGCAGTTGCCTATTTTAGAGACCAAGTAGGTGGTTTAGTCTTTTGTATCAAGGTTCCTTTTTATGAAAATTTAGAAAGACCATATAAGTTCTATCATCAAAAAAATTAATCAGTGTTATGTGTGTTAAAATTTGTCATTATTGCATTTATACGGGAACTGATTCCATTGACATTATACTGCAGATTGAACCTCAACTTTTATCCGGAAAGAATATTATGATTGCAGCCCATGGAAATTCCCTGAGATCCATTATTATGTATCTTGACAAACTAACTTCCCAAGAGGTGATTTAAGTATTCATAATTATGGCAACTTCTATGTTCACATGACATAAATAGTCATGATTCTTTTTGTGTCATCTTTTGACAGGTGATTAGTTTAGAATTGTCAACTGGAATTCCAATGCTTTATATTTTCAAAGAAGGAAGATTCATTAGAAGGGGGAGTCCAATAGGACCAACTGAAGCTGGAGTTTATGCCTACACTAGGGTATGCATCCATATCCCCTTTTATATTTCATTCCATTTTGATAAGATGCTGATTCTTTTAGCATTGTAGAAGTTTTGATATAAGAATTGATGTTTGTTGCTTTGGAAAGATGAAATGGCACTTGCAGCCATAAGAAACAGATAGAAAGAATACACTTCAAAATGTATTCATTATTCACAGCTATTATTTAAATTTACTAACAATGTTATTACCCGGCCACAGCGTTTGGCTCTTTACAGGCAGAGGTTGGATGATATGTTCTAATAATTTGAAGGTTAGTTAATAGATTTACACTCACTTTCTTCGCTTTATGCTTCTCTCTTGGACAGTGTACATTCTTTTTTCTTTTCTTTTTTTCATTTTATCACCTTTATTTCATTTTCAGGTAAATCACGTGTTGTTCCACGGTACAGTTAAGTTACATAAGGGCAAAAACAAGATGTTACCAGTTTTATAGTTAACAGCAATAATTGCTTATCTCAAAGGTAATAATACTATTAAATAACCTAAGGTATAATTTGTTTTTAAGCCTTGAGAATTTGACTAAACTTGATCTTAATTGGTTTCTATACTTTAAAAGCAATAAATTTTTTTCTCACATCTCTAACATAATGTGTGAAACTAATTCCTAATGCTAAATGCTATGTGATGATTAGTTGTTTGTCACATCTTAACGTGGCAGACATGTGACAGACAAGTAAATAAAGTTAATAGAGTTAGGATGAAAGACTAATTTCACCAATTATCATAAATGTGAGGACCAAATTCATCAAGTTAGTAGAACATACATCCTCTTGCACCTTGCTCTAAATTTAAGGATTGTGTATTGTATAGATTTCAGATCAAATCAGTCTGAAATTTGGACTGTTTCACTAAAATTTGTTCAACTTTTATTTCATTTTGATTCTCATTACCTATATAATTAGAATTTATTGATAAAAAAAAACCCC